AACCGGCTTTTAAGCCAGTTCCCCCAAACACCGGCTCCTGCTCCCTCCCCTCCCCCGTGCCTGCTGCCTCTGATTTTATTTTATAATGAGTTTTCGTGGACAAAATCCACTTCTTCGGATGCCACATATGTAAGATGCCACAGAACCACTCATTGTCTTTAAAGTTACAGACAAATATGACTACCCTGGGGTATGTCTATACTCGGCTTTTAAGCCAGTTCCCCCAAACACCGGCTCCTGCTCCCTCCCCTCCCCCGTGCCTGCTGCCTCTGATTTTATTTTATAATGAGTTTTCGTGGACAAAATCCACTTCTTCGGATGCCACATATGTAAGATGCCACAGAACCACTCATTGTCTTTAAAGTTACAGACAAATATGACTACCCTGGGGTATGTCTATACTACCACCCTAGTTCAAACTAGAGTGGTTAATGTAGTCAAACAAAGTTGCAAATGAAGCCTGGGATTTAAATATCCCGGGCTTCATTTGCATCTTGCCGGGCGCCGCCATTTTTAAATCCCCGGTAGTTCGGATTCCGTGCCCGCAGCTACACACGGCACGGAGCAGGTAGTTCGAATTAGGCTTTCTAATTCGAACTATCGTTACTCCTTGAGGAGTTCGAACTAGGGTGGTAATGTAGACATACCCCCTCTGAGTCCTATAGCCCGTGACTCGGTAGCAATATCTATTTATAGCAATATCTGTTTATTATATACTTACAGGCTTGTCTGTATATGCAGTATACAAGCTGGCATCAATGCTCTAAAAGAAAACAAATTTGGATTTAGAAACAAAAATTCATGAGTTTAGAGATAATAAAGTCAATCCTACCACACTGCAGGGGAGTGGCCTCACTCAGTGCTCAAAGAGTCAATCCTGCCAAGTGCTGGAGGTCACTGAAAACAGTGGATGTTGTTGAGATTCCCCAGTACGGCTAAGTCTATACTACAGAGGTTTTTTTTTAAAAAAAAACTTCCCTTACAGTCCACATTGCAATCGCGTTCTTTTGAAAAAAAAAATGAAAGAACAGAGAGGGTTTTCCAAAATTGGTAAACCTCGTTCTACGAGGAAGAAGCCTTTTTTCCGAAAGAGCTCTTTGGATGAGGAAGAAGGAGTTCTTTTGAAAGAAGAGGAAAGAGGAAAAAGCAAGGTGCCCTGGTGGCCATTCTGTCCGTAGTAATCACAGCTTAAATGCGATATAGCGTCCATTCAGTCTGGACACTCTCTTTCAAAAAAGCAGATTGCTTTTTCGATGCGCTTTGGCAGTGTGGAAGCTCTCTTTCGGAAGAAGTTTTTTCGGAGTATCTGTTCAGGAAAAGCTTCTTCTGAAAGAAGCCTACAGACTAGATGTAGCCTACCTGGCAGTGAAGGACCTTGCTGGAGCTGAATTCCAGCAGCACTTTCTCAGAAGAAGTCTACTCCTAATTCTTTTCAGAGAAAAAAATGTTTCTTTTTGTTTTATCCAACTAAGAAAAAATGCTTCAGAAATGAAAACAGCATTGAACGAAATAAAATTTGAAGAAGGAAACAGTTAATTTGAGGGGCTGTAATATAACTACCATGTGACATACTCTTATTGTTATCTAGTCCTCTGCTTTCTCTTATGTCTACAATATTATATGAGTTTTCTTCCTTCTCCCCCTTCTCCCCCTGAGCAAAGACCCACTTCGTCAGATGCATGTCTTTGCCCATGAAAGATTATGCTCCAATAAATCTGTTAGTCTATAAGGTGCCATAGGACTTTTCATCACTTTTGCAGATTCAGACTAAAACGGCTACCCCTTTGATACTTCTCCCCGAGTTACTTACTATTTAAGTACTGCCCTAGACAACCAGCTCCAGGCCTCTTCCTACTCAAATAGTTATATGAAACATTGATTCCTTATGCACTTACTTCACGTATGTTTTCAATCAGACCCAAATCATGCATAATTGCTGTCCAGGGTTCAGGTTCCGCATCTGTTTTTGGTATATATGCACTGATACAGCTAAAACAAAACAACCATAAAAATACTTAGGATATTTAGTAATAAGCACACCTCTTTTCTACAGATAATAATATAACTGGTTGGCAGAAGAGTAGTATGTTTATGTAAATAAATATATATAATGCCACATGTGTCTGGGGGCATGACAAATAATGAAGCCATATGATACAAAGTGTAACCATTAAATATATAGGGAATGCTGATAGTATGGATTGATATGAAGGTTTTTAATCAGCTGGAGTCTGGAATGATCCCCTTACTCAGAAGACGGAAAGGCACATGTCAATTATACTAAGCATCTTGTATGCTCTGGTGATTTGTGTAACCCACATCATCTTGCATATGCCCATATATATTATTGAAAAATGAATGTTACCAACTTTAAAGAGGCTCCAGCTTCACAGGCCCAGATTGAGAGGCTAAAACTATTTAAAGTAAAACACTTAAAATTATTCTTTCTAGATATACAAATTTTACACATTTGAAGTCTTATAGCTCAGCCACTTCCAAGGCTAGACTCAAGCACTGTGTCCCACAGAGGAGGGAATTTTCCTTGTCCAATTGTACAGTGACTGTGTTTAGCCTCTAAAGGTGCGAGCTACCAGACTTCTAAACTGCAGTGTGGGTACCAATCTTGAAACATCTTAAGCCTGATTTTCAAGATACACCTACGTCTCATGGATTTTTAACTAAAACTGTGGATGCTGCTGAAAGCCCTTTAGGGCTACATCCATAATCCAACATTTTGATTCTAAAAACTGCTCTGCTGCCATCTTACCCTGAGGTGCTTATGTTTCTGCTGGTCAAATCCCTTATATAATACTTAAGCAGTCATTGGGCTAAAGTGAGAGCGAGCGAGACAAAGACTCTATAGTCAAGTGATTTGGGCATTCACCTCTTTGCTCAAAAATAGCATTTTATACAAAGTAAACAGTCTTAACAAGAGAGAGTAAGAGCTCTCCTCTGAAATACCCAGTGGTTATAACATTCATCGAGGACAGGGGTGGGCATTAATTTTTGCAGGGAAGCCACTTCACAAATTTTGGTATGTGGTCACAGGCCAGTTCCAGGCCCTTCAGAAAGGGCGGGGCCTGAGGTGGAAGGGGTGGGGTTGGGGCTACAGAGAGAGAGAGAGAGAGAAAAATAGACACTTCGTGGGTGAGAGATAGTTGCTACTGTGCAACTGCTGAATATTTCAGCGATTACACACAGGGTGGCAGCCAGCTCCCTGGGAGCCAGCTTTCACAGAACTGGCTTTTACAGAGGTAGCAGTGCAGGGCAGCAGGTGGCTCCCCTGGTGCCGGCTTTTAAGCTGGCTCCCGGCAGATACCGACTCCTGCCTGCTGCCTCACTGCCAGAGAGCCGACTACTGCCCATAGTGGCAGCCAGCTCCTTGGGAGCCAGACCAAGAGCTGCATGGAACCATTTTGATAACCAAGAAGCTCAATCTTATTGGTTACCCATTTAAACAGCTATACTCTTACTAACTCCCTACTAATTCTCCCCATGTAGTCTGTAGGGACATTGGAGCAAGGGCACCTAGCTTGGTGCTGTGCATTCTGCTATGTGACAGAGTGTCTAAATATTAAACATTGAAATGCTGAGTCTAACAGTTTGTTCACATAGCAAGTGACTGTGCAGCAAACCATGGTGTGACTATACAGTGGCCCAGCTTGCATTGCAGTAACATCCCATGTGGACATGTATAGCACAGTGAAAGTCCTGGAGTGCAATTGGTTTGCTACTATTTGTAAGTGTAGCATATCAAGCTGCACTCCAGCACTTTCACTGTACTGGATATTACTGTGCACTGTAGATTCTTACCCCACCTTGCCAAAGCCTTAGTTCCTTTTGTGAATCTAGAGTCTAGTATTTGGCATCCCAAATTTGGGGGATGTTTTGGAAAACATAAACAACAGTCATAGATGCAACCACTAGGCCTTTCTTTGGTAAGAAAGAGCGGGCCATTTCCCTCAAGCTCCCAAGCAGGAGAAAGCAATAATGTCTTTGAGCCTATGGCAAAGGAGGTGAGGGATAAGGGAAGACCAGTTCCAGTGTTTCTGCTGATTTTGTGAGTAGCAGTAGCAGTTGTAGCATTCTGTTATCTCACTCTTCTCAAGGGCTAATCAGCTGAAAGGCAAAGGTAGAGCCTAATTCAAAGAGCAGATAGATCCAGAGGAAAGAATCCAGATTCCTTCCTGTTGTCTGCATTTACGCTCAGAAGATGAATCCCCTCCCAGCAGACCAGGAGTAATAAAGGAAGACAGAGGGCATTCAGCAGCTCTCTTCCCAATGAGGAAGGGATAAAACAGCCTCATTTAGGGAGACTTGACTAAAAGAGTGGATGGCAGTGAGCATGTAGGCAGAGGGTACTCGGTATGTGGAGCACAGAGCACTGGGAAAAGACAGAGAGAACAGTGAGCATGTGAGGAGTGTGTTTAACTAGAACCGCAGGGGAATCCAGCTTTGTACAGTGACTGGAGATCATTGGGAGGGAGATAAGTACACAAATGCAAATAATTATCTATTTTCTAGTTTTGTGTTTAAAACTTATATTTACCAAAGAATGAAGATGATTATTCCAGTTGCATTTTTTAAAAAGTTAAGAAAATGTCTCTTCAGAGTAAGATACTGCTGGTAGTGGAGACAAATACTTCTCAGCTGTATTTTCTGAAAGATACAATAAAAAAAACATGAAGTATGGAAGACTTTGACTTCACAGGATATTTTTAGTACTATTTTAATTAATGTATTAGGCAAGTCATCTAGTAAAGACAATGCTGTATATAGTGGATATTTTGTAAAGACCAAACAAACCATTCTGTATCTTTTTAGGAATATCTAGACACTTGCTGGTAGAAAACCAGATGCTAGGGACACAACACAAGAAACTGGAATATATTCTGGAGCATGGTTTCTTAGCTTCTTTCATAGTATGGATCACATTTTAATACAGATATTGTATTAGAAACCACTTCGTTTCCCACTCTGAATTTTGCAGACCAGCTCTTGCCCGTCCCTTTGCTTTCCATAATATCCCTGCAGCATCTACAGCAATTAAATATGTGAAAAAGTAATATTAGCAAAAGGTTTTAAAAGAATGTTTTGCTTTCTTTTAATGCAGTTTAGCAGTTGAAAATTAGAAGTGGGAGGGGGGAATAGCTATCCATGGATCACCAGCAAATGCTCCATAATTTAGAATTTGGAAACTTTAGTTCCAGACAGAGTCAAAACCTCTCTTACGTAAACTGGCACTATTCCATTATGAGAATATTCCTGTCACAGCTCAGTTCCCCAACTTGACATGTCAAGTATAGAGATGGGGCTCGGCAAGCAGAATAAACTCTGTAAGAACCTGCCTCTGAAATTCCCCAGAGACAAACTGGTCCGGTCTGAGTTTCCCTGAGACCAAAAAGGAAACATTGTCACCACCCAAGTGAGTTTAAAAAAATACAGAATAAACCCTTTTTCCAGGGAGAAGATCACCTGGGAATCCCCTCCCTAAGGCGAAGCTCTTGCCTCCTATCCCACCTCCGTTTTGCTTGGAATTGGTGAAAACAAACAGAGGGAATCCGCAGAGAACAATGGGCTCTGCTCCTCCCAGATAATCAGGCACGTAGGATTAAGGACACAAAAATCAACCAATACTGGTTAATCAAAGCAAAAAGGAAAACATTTTTATTATCAAAACAAAACTACTGTTGCAAACATAGCAAATGTTAAAAAGCCAAAGAGTGAAACAGACTCAGGGGAAATCCCTGGGTTATAATCCTTAGTTACAAAGAGCAAAACAATTAACCAGCTCAGACATGATTTCCAAACCCCCAAACAAGGAAAACAATAAAACCTGATGGACTATCTAAACTTTTCCCTACTTACACATTTCAAGGAGTCTGTTCTTGGGAGAGCTCATCTCCCATCTCCTCAATACGTGGGGAAATCTGCTCTGACTCCAAACCAAAGAAGAGAAGGGGAAAAAAACCCTCTCTCTTGATTTGAAATTCCTATCTGCATTTCTTTGGCTGAATACTGGAGCCCCCTCCCTCAGGCGCATCTCCAGTTGCTTAACCATTTCCTGACTTTCCAGGTAAGTCAGACTCTACTTAGCAGCTCCTATTCAAAACAGCTCCTATGTTTTATTGCTAATAATCCTGGGCAGTGGGTGAAGCTTCCACTTGGGGAGGCAGTAGCTCCCCTGCACAGGCCCTGCCCCACTTCTCTACTCCTCCTCTCTTTCCTCCCCTCCCAGCACATCCTGTGACCCTGCTCACTGCATGCTTGTTCCCTTCCAGCCAAATCCCTTAACCAAAGCAAAATATTTTTTAAAAAAACCCTCCCTGTTCTCGACAAAATGGACCATGTCTTGTATATGTGCCAGACATGCAGAAGGTGCCTAATTAAAAACACTAAATTTGGGAATAAGAAATGTCAGTCACGAGATTTTTTATATATCTTGATAGTTGACATGCAGGCAGCTTGTAAACACCTCTCCCAAACCCCTCTCATTGATCCTGGGGAACACATAATGGCAAGCACCAGTTAAAGCACCTTTCTTTATACAAAAAAACAAGGAAGTGCCGATCATCTGAAGAAGTGGGCTGTGCCCAAGAAAGCTCATGATTCCATCTACATGTTTTGTTAGTCTTTAAAGTGCTACCAGACTATTTGTTGTTTCTTAAGTTTATCCTGTGCAGACTAACTCGGCTACCCCTCTGAAAGTATAATATGGGCGGCGGCAGAGCAATCTTCTACCACTTGCCCAGCCAAAATGCCTCAGTCTTAACAGACCACTCAGCCCAGTGATTTGTAATGAAGTCACATGCTGATTAGAGGGTCCCCTGGATGGTTTGAATAACGAGAGAGAGGGCTACAGTTACATTTCCCAAAGTTATGTAACTAAGCACAGCAATTTATGAGCTTTACAAAGAATAAATTATATAATCTGACACCCTCTCACTGCAGTGATAAACTACACTCAAGCTAGTAACATTATCTTATTTTGGAACTAATTGGCCTCCAGAATGAAGGAGCATAAAATGGCTTTAAATTACTTTTGTTCCCTCCTGTCTTAATCAGGTCCTGTAATTTGAAATCTGAGGCTGGCTAGACCAAGGGACCTGGCCTGTATGGAATCCATCATGGGTGATGAGGTTACAGAACATGGCACACAACACCTGTTCAGAATTAAATTAATCTTTTTAAAGCCCACTTCCATCATATAATGGTGTTGTCTTCACTAAACATAATTCACTCTGAATCGTAATCAGACATTTTCTTGTTATTACACACTCAGACATCAACACTCCATATTGACGCCACAGCATGAGGCTGCGAGGCAGCTACCACACTGTGAGGTATAAGGCACACCACAAGTTAGCTTCTCTTGTTTTCTGGTAATGTCAGATGTCTGCTGTAAAATGAGCAGATGCAATCAATCATAACATTGTATACATGATGGCTCACCAGTCTCATCTCAAAAGTCACCAGAGTACCCAAGTCTGTGTCCTATCTTGCAATCTACCTGTGCTTTGTCTCCTGACAGCAAGTTACTTATCTTCACATGGTTTTATTCTGTGTCCTTAGTCCCACATTGCTTGTAATACCTTCAGCTTTGATTATGTATAGTATCCAGTAAGCCAGTGAGAGAGACTGCCTAGAAAGAAGATCATGCATCAGGATGCTGTCACTCATCTAGAAGTCAATAGCAAACTTTTGGTCAAGCTTTGGGCCAAAGGAAGCAAAACCCCTGACTCTGAGGCCCAAAAAGGAATGTCCAAAAGTATGAAACATCACTTTGGAAACTGCTTGCCAATCATGGGATCAACCATAAAGAACAAAAGTGCAGGGAAAATAGTAAGTGCTCATGATGAGTGACAGCAGGGCTACAGAAAGCAATTCCAAATCTGGTGCTACCCAAAAAGTGCCTCTTATATAGATTGTTGAGCTGTCTGGAGTGGCTCATGACCATGAGTGCCTGTCTCAGGACAGACATCCCAAACTAATGGTATGTTCTATTATTAGATTTCACCCACCTGTGAACAAATGTGAGCCTTATTGTGGAGTCACAGACAGCCTTATTGTGGAGTCACAGACAGCTCCTTGGGCACTTCAGTCTCTCTTGCCATCCAGACAAGTTCAACTTAGTGATAAATGGTCACTTACACCAAAAATCAAAACAGATTCAGGTTCCTCCCAGTCTCAAGAGTCCAGTCATGTCCCCTCACATCTCACACAAAAGACAATGTCAGAAGCCTTAGGTTTCGTGGTCCTTCTTAGAAAGTGGGGGAATAATTCCTTGTGTCTGAATTCACAAATTCAGAGCAGGCATTTTTAAGTTATAAAGCAAAACATTCCCATTACTTTTAGCATGGAATACAGCCATTAGATTAAGATTAATGCACACACCAAATGAGCCTTTTTTAGAGTCTAAACACATCTTTACAAGTCTAACACATATCTTGAACATTACTAACATACAGATGAGCTGCTCTGGTTTCCAGCTATGACTTTGCCATTGCTCAGCTGAAGCCCTATAGACATGGCAAGAAATGGCATCTGGTCTACCAGCATCCCTTAGATATCCATGAATCTAATGGTGGTCCATAGAGGCCTGCCCAATGACAGAATAATATTCTTTCCTGTTAATGTATTCGTTTGCTCCTAATGGAAAGCATAAAATGGGTATATGCATGGCATCAATAGTACCTGCATGACACAGGAATCCCAACTGTTCAAAGCCTGTAATATTACAGGGATGCAGAATGGCAACAGAGTGATAATCACCTCGCAAACCTCCACAACTACTGTGCCAACCCAAACAGACTACCACAGATCTCTAATCAGCATCCACAGGATGATAGCAATACGCATTTGGATTATTATTGCGTCTCTCATTTGAGTGCCTTTGTGCTCAACTGCCAGTGTGAGCTCCTCACACACAGCTCCAGGAATGTTGCATTCCCCTTACGAAAGTTCTGAGTCCATTTCTGGTCTTCCCACACTTCCATCCCACCATAGTCCCAAGACTCTGTGTGTCATTCTGGTCCAGAAGTGGCAGTCTCTGGAGGGGACTGTTTTGACCCCAGTTGTTAGGCAACACTCAGAATTTTGTGAGTTGGTTCCTTTGAGAGACAAAATGATGGGAATGGAGAATCCTAGTATTTCTTTGATGCAAGCCTCATTAGTTACAAAGAATGTCCTATTTCCCCGAACACAGTAGGTAACAACCAACCAAAGAGTTTCTTTGCTCACAGTTCCAGATCTCTTTCCAGTCAGCATTTTACCTCAAAGTGCTCTCTTGTAGCATGACCCTGAAAACAAGCTGAAAGTATTTCTCTGGTTGTCCATCAAGCTTTTTTGCAGCCTGCCTTTTTGCAGTATGCTTTTGTGGTGGTTTTGCTGCTTCTCACTGACACATGAACTCACATGGCTCCAACAAATAGTGTTTTGTGTTTGCATTCAGTTCCTAGGAAAAATCCCTTGGATCATGAGGTTCTGCTCGTACTCCAGCTGTGCATGCAGACTGTGTTTTGGGTGGTGCACACACACACATACAGGTCTTCCATAAAAGAGCTCGATTACTTTGTGCGTTTATTCTGAATGAAGGGCGACTGTTACTCCTACCGACTTCAGTGTGGTTTCACTCAGCCTCTAGCATCAGACAGCAAATA